TTCATCTCATAAGCCCTCTATGGTTATAGACTCTTTGTAAACATGAGTTTCCAGTGCCTGTGTAACATACTACTGAGTGAACACCCCACACGTATTTCTCTAGTTTTGGGCAAAAACTTTAAAGTAAGTAAAGTTTGCTGAAAGCTCTTTCTTACCCAGACTGGCGTATAAGTAATTCTGTAAATCTTGGACCACATGGGAACCAGAAAGGGAGAGCCAGCAGCATCAAGTTGTGCAATAGGAAGGTTGATAAATGGGCCTCACACATGTGCTCTCCACTGAGCTACCTCCCAGCCCACGCTGGCAAACTTCTAAATGGAGGACAGAGAAAGAACCCACCCCAAGAACCCATGCTCTCTGCTAACAAATGATAGAGTTGTTTGCAGGCATCTTATTGAACTGAGGAAGGAAGGGCCAGAGGGAACAAGGTGTAACAAATGGAAAACAGACGTGCTCTAGGCTAAGCTGCGTTCTAGGCCCTGTGAATGAATCAGGGAATAAACACCGGGAATCCTTACTCCCCGGGAGCTTGCATTTTAGTCGGGAGTGACAAGAGGCACCCAAGTAGATAATGTGCTATAAATGCCACGAAGAAAAAGAAAATGGAGCAGAAGAAGGTGGGGGGACAGTTAACTTTGGCAGAATGGCTAGGAGCGCCTCTCCAAAAGCGCAACCCTCGGTCGAAGAGCTTAGCAGGTGACAGCTGTGCCCACAGCCAGTGGTGCTGTCTTCCAGAGGCCGTTCTTTGTGGTCTATTTTAATGAAACCTACATACAGAGTTCCATAAGTTCTCTTTTTCTAAAACATTTATTATGAAAAGTTTTGGACTTTTGTTAACAGTGGAGGCCCACACACTCCCTAAGAGGTGGAACCATGAATATTTTACCATCCTGGCTCATTGTCTGTCTGCCTGTCTCTGTCTCTCTCCCATCACAGAGTTGATTTTTAACCTTGGTGTCCTTAACCCACATCTCATAAGTTCTTCTTGCTAGTCAGTTGTGAATTTCTTTTATCACAGCAGTTTTCAGATAAAAGAACTCTCACAAATAGGAAGGAATTATATTTTTATATTTTTATGGACTTTATAATTTTATTTAATTTTGAATTTTTCTTGTAATTTGTCAGTCTATTTGGAGTTTATTTGGGATCATGGTGCAAGGCAGGGGTCTTGCCCTGGTGTGTTTATTTCCCATGTAGCTCTATCCTCAAAGCGTTTGTTGAATCACGCAGCCTTTCCTATGGGGCTGGTCACTTTTTACGAACAATGCTGTCTTCATAAATGCCTCGGTGCTTTCAAGAAGTCTCTTCTGTTCACTTATTTGGCTGTTGACTTACTTTGCCACCTCACTTTCACAATTTTGCTTTACAATGCATTTTAATAAGTAGTTAGGCACATCAGCCCCAGTTTTCTTTTTCAGAATTTTCTTAACTGTGTCACATGCTTATTCCTGCAAATCAATATTAAAGTCATGCATGTTCTAAAATACCTTCCTGCAGTATTTATATTTACTGCTTTTTAGAAAGGAATATTTTCTCCTCTATAAACAGGAATAATAGTAGCAGCTTTTAATGAGATCGTTGTATTAAATGATAAGATAAAATGTTGAGTGTTATCCATCAACTCAGAGCCTGTTCTAATTTTACAGGAGGCTCTAAGATTTATTTAGGCCTACATAATTGCAGTTCATTTCTGGAGTTTCCCAGATTCATCTGGAAGCAAGAAAATGAATAATTTGGGGTTATTACCAAGTTGGAAATCAAGCCCCATTGAAGGAAGTGAAGTGGCAGCAATGGCCAAGAAACGCCTCCTTGCTGCAGATGCTCCAGTGTTGAGGGACACATGTCCCACAAGACCCTGCACGGTCAGCCCGCCCCTGCATGCCCACTCTGCACAGCCATCAGCAGCCTGGGGCTCAGATCAGCATGCTCAGTCGCATGTCACAATAGACTGGAATCTGACACCAGTATAGCTCAGCTTTATAGAAGGACACAGGGCAGGAATCAGTGTATGCCCTTCCAGAGACCTTGGCAATGCTTCCCAGACCACAGGACCCTCTAAGCCAGTAGGGACGGGACCATGTGGTGGCAAGGACCAACCCAGCATAGAAAGCTCGGCTCCGCAGCTCTTGTCTACTGGCTGCCCACATGCGTGGCTTCCAAGGCCCATTATGGATAGAAGAGCAACACACAGAAGCACATGTTTTTGTTACCAGGTAGCACCAATGTCAGCCCCATGTAGAGGCCAGACTACAACCCTTGGCACTCCAGAAATATTTGGAATCAAATTGCTAGTAAAATAGATTTTATTTGAAGCCAGTTTTGAAGGAAGATAGAAGGAACTTATTGTTTGCAAAAATTCTGTCTTCAACATCTCTGAGGGCAAGCAAGGGTTTAAAGGAGAAGAGACAGCCAGTGAGGCTCAAAGTACATATGCAGATTGAGTTCACGTGTGCTGGACAGGCCGGGAGGGAGCGGCTCCACCTTACTTCCTGCCTTCTGGTAGGCCGAGGTGGACTGATGAGGCTACAGCTCATATCATACCATATCAGCCTCCTCTCTCATCAGAATCTAAAATGTTGGCCCCTGCACCCAGCACAGGCTGTCCACTTGCTACTACTGTTCCTGTGCCCAGAACAAGCTCCTGACCTGAGCCGTGGTCTCAGTATGCTCCTCTTTCCTGGCTTGGCATCTCAGCAGAGCCATCCCTGTTTTCAGGTGCACCTCCTCTTGAGAGAGGACCCACCAAGGTGGACATCTCTCTGTTGTATCTTCCTTCACAGGACTGGCTCTTGCTTTCCCTGGCGCCAGGTTCAGAATAGCCTCCCAGAGTGGAGTACAGCCTTCCTGAGGTTTAAGAGCAATAGATGCAGAAATAGCCAATATCACCAATGGAACATTTATCTATAGCTGCTCCTTTACACAAGGAATTCTGTCCTTCAAAAAGTACAGTGAAGGAGAAAATGGGAAAGGCTTTTTTTGTTCTTCCCTGTGAAAGAATTTCCAATTTCTTTCTCATATACACCCGAGCCTGATCTAAGGCGAGGACCATTTCTGCTACTGCTGAAAACCCTCCAGTGGGAGTGTATGAAAGAATTGGGGAGAGGAAATTATTTCTTTCTTGTTCTACCAGCATTTCCTTGTGTTCTCAGAATGGAGGGCTAGAAGTAGAATTAGCTTATTTTTTTTGTTGTTGTTGTTGATTTTTTTATTTTTTTTAAATACACAATAACAGTGGAAAGCATTACAATCCTTATCATACATATAAAGCACAATTTTTCATGTCTCTGTATTAAAGTATGTTTAGGTCAATTTATGCCATTATACATGTACTTTTTTGCATTATAATTCTTAATTCATGTATATACCACAATTTTTCGTATCTCTGTGTATTTTGACACCCAATTCAAGTCTTTATACATGTACTTTATATTGATGACCATCCCATTCCACCATCCTAGCTAATCCCCTTCCCCCTCCCTTTCCCTCCCACCCCTCTTCCCTATCTAGAATTAATTGATATTAACAACTCTGTTGTAAGTTTTTGTCAAAATTATAGCTCTGGCTTGGCATGGTGATGCACACTGTAATCCCAGCAGCATGGGAGGCTGAGGCAGGAGGATTGCAAGTTCAAGGCCAGTTTAGCAAGGCCCTAAGCAATTTAGCAAGATATATATATAAGTATAAAAAGGACCAGGGATGTGGCTCAGTGGTAAAGTGCCCCTGCATCCAATCCTTAGTACCCACCCCCCCCAAAGTTGTAGTTCTGTTATCATTTAATGATTCTCAGTAGCTACTCGATACAGCTTCTGTGTCTTTTTTCTTTATTGTTGCCTTAGAGTGGGGGAGTGGAACAGTTAGTAGCTCACGTGTTTCAAGCATTTGCTGTGTGCCTGGTGTGGTGTTAGGCATGTCAACTCATACTACCCATTTTAGGCAGGTACTGTTGTTTCTTCCCATTTTACAGTTTAGAAAACTGAGTTGCACAGATAATTACCTTTCTCAAGGTCACACAACCAGTAAGGAACAGAGCCAGTGTGGATCTGTTTGGCCTCATAGTCGGTGTTCTTCCACACTCATGTGTTACCTGGTTTTGTCCCATGATATGTTAACATGCACAACAGGAGAATCCTGCGCGTGCAGATAATGGAGACTTCGTCTTCATGCATGCTCTGTGGAGGTTTTAATTTCAATCAAGCTCTTCCCTTATTTTTCTCATTAAATGATTAATCTTGCTTCTATGAGGGGAAAAGGTACACTTGGATTGGATTGATTTCTTTTGTGACCAGAATAAATTTCTCATCAAGAAACTTGGTTTCCTCTTTTTTTTTTTTTTTTTAATTTTCCATAATAGACTTCACTCTCCGAGCTCCTCCTTCCTAAAGGCCCTGTTTGCTTTACAGCAGCAAATATTGAAGCATGCACTCGCTCGCGCCCCATGAAAAGCTGCCACCCCAGGCCCATTTTCACATATCAGAACTGACCCTTGTCTGGGTGGCTCGGCCTCGCCCATCTTGCTCAGCTGCCCTCTTGATTCCCAGTGGCCCTCACAATGACTGGCACTCAGGGAGGTGGGGACAATGACAGTTCTCTTTTTTCCTTTTGAATCTGGATGCTGCTGCGTTCACTTGCCTGACTTTGTTGAGTTCTTTCTGTTGTAAAGTCCTTATTCAGAGAGCCCGATATGTGTCTGTGTATGTGTGTGTGTTCTAGTCCACACCCTCTTTTTTATCTTCCCCAGTAATGTATTTGGATTTGTAGCCTTCCCTCAAGATTGACTTATATTGAAAAACATCTGTGAGTTTCACAAATTTGACTTTATGATATCTCAGTTTGAAATATTTCTTCAGCTTTACTGAGATACTATTGATTCATCTCAAAATGTCTTTCTCTCTCATGTAGTTGAGTTTCAAAGTGTGTTTCACCATACTTGTTTTTGCTAAAATATCATCACTGTGACTCCATCCTCTGGTTGTTTAACAGCAAGTTTCATTTGCCTACAGGAGGATATTGAAAAGTGAGCCTCCGTATCCACAGGAGATGAGCGCGTTAGCTAAAGACCTGATTCAGCGTCTTTTAACGAAAGATCCCAAGAAGAGATTGGGATGTGGTCCTCGGGATGCAGATGAAATCAAGGAACATCTCTTCTTTCAGGTGAAGTTTACTGAGCAGATGTATGAACTCACATCCCTACTATTTTCAGGGTGCTTGGCATTCTTGGTGGAAGGAGTGAACACAGTCCTCTTGGGGGGTCTTTCTACCTAATCTCACTACATTGTACCTTAAAAATAAAAAGATGACAAAGACCCTTTAGAAAGGACTAGAACACTACTTGAATAACTCTAAATGGTCTTTTCCTCCCCAGGGGCAATGGGAGTGGGACAGATTATAATAGCAATTAGTTTTCTCCATACTGATGGATTAGAATTTCTAAATAGTGGTTTCCATTTATGACCTTGGGATTCTGGCATATGTACTAAGGACACTTGTTATATTTCTTGTTTCTTTCTCAGTTCATGAGCTATTACTGCCACTGTGTTTTTTCACCTTTACGTGATGACTTTCTCTCTTCCTCTGTTCATAGGAAAAATCTTTAAAAATCCAAAACTTTACACATTTACAACATATAGAGTTACTCATTTATATTCTTTGTCCCTGTGACTTTCTTAAAAAAAAAAAAAAACAGCTTAACAAGGCCATTCTACAGAGGACTGACACATCTGCTCAGTGTAGTTTGTTCACTTGATTACAGGAAAACATCAAAATATTAAGTAACTGGGGAAAAAAGTTAAATTGACTGGGCTGGCTAGTTATTTCAGTCTAAGTGGTCAAACCTGGATGACATGCCCTGATTTCTAAAACTCTGAGTTTATGGCTTTTAAGTAATTTCATCATATCAACAAGTATAACCTAAATATTTACAGTCTAAAAGGACCGGACCATTCAAGATATTTTTATTCTGTAAGCGCTTTTATATTATTATCATCAAAAAAAATGAAAAGAGCATACCAAAGCAAGGAAAAGAACTATTCTGTCAAGTAAGCTTTCATATTGTTCTTCATTGCTTTTTAAATGGAGAAAAACAAATATTCACTGAAAATTACACTATCTCTGTACTTCTATGCTCAGAAAAGAGTATGATTACTTCAATCTCTTACTGTAATCATTTATTGTACATCTTACAGAAGTTCAGTAGCATAGTAAGAAATACATTTAGAATGAAGTGAACTTCTCATTATCTGCATTTCATAAGTTCACATGAATTCACAAGACTTGGAAAGATTACTCTTTGAAAAGCTATTTCAAATATCGTGTTCATAAATTTGGCTCAGAATTAACAATAAAATAAAATTCAAGAAACTACTCAAACAAAATATCCCTAATCATATTTTCCTAGGATCTTTTTAACCATTGTTTCTATATTTGTGAATATTGCAATTATCTTTCATATTAGAAGAATTTCTCCCTCTTTTTTTTGATAGCTTGGAATAGTAATTTTAGATTACTTAATTGCTTTGACTTTTTAAATGGTAGGAATGCTTTTGGAAAGACCAGAACTCTACATGTAATCATCTAAATGGTCTTTTTTCCAGAAATGGAACAGGAGTGGCTCATGATAGCATTCAGTTTTATACATGTTAAGCATTCTCCTGCTAACAATGTATTTCTTTAAATTATACCTTTACTTTAGAAGTGTTTCTTAATGTATGTATAATAGCCAGCACAAATCGCATGCTTATAGTGGGAAACATTACAGCCATAGAAGAAAGAATACGAACCAGAAGGCCAAGAGGTTGCTTTCAGATCCTGACTCTTCCACCAACTGTTGTAATATGAAAGGGTTAGTTCTTATTTCTGGGCCTCGGTTTCCTTCCGGATTATATAAGAAGGATGAACTAATCAAGCTCTAAAACCTGTTCTAGCTGAACACCAGAAGATCTGTAATTTAATGATTTTATTTTCACTGCCTCTTTAGGGAGCATAACAAAAAGATATTTTATATGGTTGATTAAACTTAATGAGTTTTATTACCAGGAAGTGCAGGTTTCACATTTTATCATCATAAAGTCAGTATGCATCTTGTAGTAAACATCATCTTACTATTCTATAATGCTTTTTTCTTAATTACTTAAAATAATGGTTTACCTTAATATCAATAGTGACATCTGAGATTTGAAAAAATATGGTAAAAGAAGAATCTATAGAATTCAGTACATATTATCTGAGGTGTTTTAAGTGACAGAAGGAGCGTAAAGAAACAGAGCAGGGATTTGAATTTGAATAACATCATTTAGGGGCTAGGGTTGTGGCTCAGCGGTAGAGTGCTTGCCTTGCACGGGCTTGGGAGGCCCTGGGTTTGATCCTTAGCACCACATAAAAATAAGTAAATAAAATAAAGATATTGTGCCCACCTACAACTAAAAAAAAAAAGAATAAAAATATTTTTTAAAAAACCCACATCATTTAGCCAGTGTGTGACATGGGTAGAAAGGGAACTCAGATGAGAGGCAGTATCCAAAATGCTTGAATTCCAGTCAAAGGAGAACAGAGTGGTTCCACAAATATTATAGTATCACTTATAAGCACACGTTTGATATGTACTTCCTAAATAAACTTCTGTCCATGCCTTTAAAAAATAACTTATTTTTAATCTGGAGGAAAAGAAGCCTAGGGGACAGGAGTATTCCTTTAGAGTTAATATAAACAGACATTTTAAAGCCCTTTAATGCATTGTTTTCTGTTCATTTTTTTGTTTGTTTCTTGGGGCTTAATTCCTTTCTCAGAAGGCTCAAGACAAGTTATTTTTCTGGTATCTCCCAGGGCAAAGCAGGGTGTCCTGGTGCCCCACGAGGACACTGTGGGGCTCCAGATGAGGGCGGCATACTCACGCAGACACCGCCTTGCCCGGGACCACAAGCAGCAACAGTCAGAAAATGGCCTCTTCCTTGAAAAAAAAAACAATTTTTTTTTTAAATTAGTGATTTGAAACCTCTTACTTTAAGCTTCTCCCTATTAATTAAAATCCTAATCTATTTTTATTATTCATAGAAAAATCTATTTTGACTTTGTTGATTTCTACTTTGTACCAATTTTTTTTCTCTTCTTTAGAAAATCAACTGGGATGACTTAGCTGCCAAAAAAGTGCCCGCACCATTTAAGCCAGTCATCCGAGATGAATTAGATGTGAGTAACTTTGCTGAAGAGTTCACAGAAATGGACCCAACCTATTCCCCGGCAGCCCTGCCCCAGAGCTCCGAGCGGCTGTTCCAGGTAATCTCACGGTGCGCACCTGTACGCTGGCCCTGGGTGATTTGGAGGAAAAGACCTGTTTCCCCATATTAAAGTGCTTTTGTTGGCATCTAAAATCAGGGTTCCCTAATCTAGTCATAATTATTAAGAACAGAGATATTTCACATTACTAACTGAATATTATGGTTTGCTCAAGAGCAGATATTGCTTATGTTTTTGTTTTTTATATAAGTAAAGGTTATTTTTTTTACCTGAAATGTGATTTTTATTCAGATTTTTTTTTATAAAAATCATAATACCTTATCTATTCCTCTTTTTGTATAAAATAGTCTTTGGTTCACAGTGTTGTTTGATTCTTCATTTTCAGTGAATGATCTGAACTACTTTCCAACTCTTAGAAAAGACTTTGTGTTTAGAAAATGTTCTGAATCAGACTTAGGATAAAATTCTCGGCCTGTTAATCGGCGCCATAGCTTCCTCCTCTGACTTCTGTTCATGCTTGTGGACATCCAGAATGTGTCCTGCTCATTCCCTGTCACTGTCCACCAGTTGACCGAGCCCTTAGTAGACATTTGTTGATGAACTAGTCAGTGTTACAGCAATTAACCTGAACAGAGCAGGTTAATTGCCCATCATTACATCACTTCTAACTCATCACATCATTCTGACATTGGATTTGGTCTCTTCCAAAATTCAATATTAAACTTAGTTTTTCTGAGTAAACAGGAGTCAGATAATTGCTGAATTAGAAACCAATTTTAAGGAATCTCGTTATTTTTCTAGTTTGAAACACCATAGTACTGGTACTATTGTTTAATGCCTTGATGTATCTTTCTTGAGAAGTTAGTTGCGTTAGCAAACTTTTATCAGCAAATGCAAAAAAATTACAGATCTGAGTCAGATTTGGGGGTGGGATAGTGAGGAAGTCTTTTTCTACCTTTTTTGAATTGGCTTGATTCTACCAGAAGATGGCATTGTCTCCTTCTGAAAAGCATTTTCCTAGTGAATTGAAAAAACCCTGCATTTAGGATTGCAATAAAATTAGATACATCTCAATATTTGAGTATTTTTAAAGGAAAACATAGTGAGCTATTCTCCACTAACCTGCAAATTGTAAGTCCTTCTCCTTGACCTCCCCTTCCCTTTTCTAGGGCTATTCCTTTGTCGCTCCTTCTATCCTGTTCAAGCGCAATGCAGCTGTCATAGATCCTCTTCAGTTTCACCTGGGAGTCGAGCGTCCTGGCATGGCGAATGTCGCCAGGAGTGCCATGGTGAAGGTGCGTGTGGCTGCTCCAGGGTGCTTGCTTCTGTGACTGCTCAGATGTCAACATTGTTCAGTGTTCTCAAGTGCAGTCATTGTAATAGATTTACTAATCAACTGAGGACAATTGAGAAAATGAATGAGTCAATAGAAAACAATATTTGCCCTAGAAAATTATGGATATTAAGTAAATGCTATAGATAAAAGTAGAAACAAGATAAAGTAAAATGAATTTTAGATTATAAATGTGTTCCATTCAGATCTATGAATGTTAATGATTTTATATGGCTCTACGGTTTTACTTTTCCCTTGTGTATGTTTAACCTTTTCTTAAGTTAAATGATGTTGGTTTCTCATCAGGACTCTCCATTCTATCAACACTATGACCTAGATCTGAAAGACAAACCATTGGGAGAAGGAAGTTTTTCCATTTGTAGAAAGTGCGTGCACAAAAAAAGTAACCAAGCATTTGCAGTCAAAATAATCAGCAAAAGGTATGACCGTTTCTAGCTGTCTTTCATGTGTATTGATCCTCGTCAGGGGATTCTGAAAATGAAGAGGTTTTTATAGAAAAGGAATCAATGATATATTATCTTTCTATACCCACCGTCTTAACTATGTGGCTCATTGGTTGACCCATTATACTTATAGTTCTAATAGATATTTTCTGATAAATAATTCATTTTAAACATGAATCATTATCTGATATGCTTTTGAGATTCATATAGGGAAACTTTTCTGTGACAGTGATACATTTAATCAGTCTTGCTTAATGATCTCAGCAGCTATTGCTATTTCTATTAGTTGTATGTTTAAAGTACTTTTCTCTGAAATTGTATGGTACTGGTAGTTTCAACAGCCAGCTAGTTGTTTCAGTCACTGATTATTACCCTCAGGACTGTCTATTCTTATTACCAAATTGTTAGGCAAGTAGGGCATCCATTTATTTGTATGACTAGCTCTTTTCTGACTCAAAGAGCATAATTTTCTCCAGAAAAATGTCATACTTTTCTGGTGGGAGATATGATTCATTACTTTCATGGAAACTTTATTAAATATCATTCTTGGACATGTGTATTCTGAGTGCACTGTAAATAAAAACAAAAATTGGGGCTGGAGCAATACTGACATAAAAACTTTCTTGAAGAATCATATAGATGCTAACTATTTCATCTTGCAGAATGGAAGCCAACACTCAGAAAGAAATAACCGCTCTGAAGCTCTGTGAAGGACACCCCAATATTGTGAAGCTGCATGAGGTTTTTCATGATCAGGTATTTATGTGGCTTTTTTTTCCTCTGTGTCCTCGTTTATATACAGTGCTCCATTTCTCACCAGTTTTATTGGTGTGGAACATCACCTGGGCACTAGGAAGGGCAGAGAAACCACCCCACACATGCTCTTACCCACCCCAAAGCACTTCATCCTGCTGTATTGCTTTCCTCACTCTGCCAGCACCACCTGTGATGGGGAAGGAGGACAGGGCAGCAGCTCAGGGCACTGTTGCAGGCACACCATCGTGCACACTTCTCAGTACTCAGGAGTTTTGAGCCTTCAGCCCTCTTGTCACTTCTGTAGCACAGCATAGAGTCTTGAGCACACGTACTGCAAGCTAATGGGCACACGAGCAGAAGGGCAAAGCTGCTCCCCTCAGCTCGCTGCTCCAGGGGGCAAATTCTGCTCGCCCCAGCCTAGATCATGCTGCCCTCTTTTTCACTCCCAGTCTTGCTATCCAACAGGAAGCTGGGAAATGGGACCACTGAATTGGGTTCAAGTCACCTCTCAGCCTTCCCACTGCCAATTCATGACTGGAAATTGCCCCATTTCAGTATTCTTTCCCCCTGATACCAGGTGGAATGACACAGTTCTGCTCAGGACAACATGGAGGCACAGCAGCTGAAACCAGTTGCAAATGTGGTTTTCCCTGATTTTACAATGAAGGAACTGAGGTTCTAAAGTCATGAGACTTGTGCCAAAATCCTACAACAGGTCGGCAAAAATCTAGTAGGCAGAACCTGATCACCAGTTCTGGGCTCTCCTTGATGTGATTCTGTGACATCCATGACTAGAATAGCGGGAACCCAGGTTTCTACCACAGAAACCTGGGAAAGAATGATACCTCCCAGTGAGCTCGGGCAGCAGCAGCTATATTATCAAACTGTAATAATTGCTGCCATTTATAATCACATACTTCATGTGGTCCAGGTACCACACGAGGTGCTCTACGTATGTCACCTGAGTCAGTCATCATCATACTCCATGAGGTGAGCACACAGAGACTCCCAGTTCACTAACAGGCCTCACGGTCTGAAAGGGGCAAGGCTGGGTCTGAGGCCAGCAAGCCGCTGTTCTGCTCTGCTGCCGGAGGGAAGGCAGAAACAGGCTGTTATTTACATCAGGCAATGAGCACCCAAAGTTGGCATTATCCTCTACTCCTTTTTGTTACTCATAATCAGAAAAGGCAGCCCTTGGAAGCAAGGCCTCGGGGAACTGCTCTCCCTGCTTCTCCACTGCCTCCCACATCATTGAGCTATGCATTTCTAGTGGAGGTAGTGAGTCCCCTGTCCACTAGAGCTGTTCAAGAAGAGACTATGAGTCAGGTATGAGGGCACACCGTAATTCCAGCCACTGAGGATACTGAGTAGGAGGTCATAAGTTCAGGTTAGTGAGACCTGAGCAGGTTAGTGAGACCCTGTCTCAAAATAAAATTTATAAAAGGGCTGGGAATGCAGCTCAGGGCTAGAGTGCCTGGGCAAGGACATAGCCTTGGGTTTAGTCCCCAGTACCACAAAGAGGAGAACCTACAGACTGGACAACCTGCTGATGTAGACATGTCAATCAACGGATATATGGATGACCTAGAAATCTCCCTCTGTGGTTTTGCTTCTGTGCCCAAACTGTATCCCAGTCATTTGCTCTCTGACTTCAGACTGATGTTGGATCTCAAGAACACCCCTAATTATTTATGTCAGAAGTTGATTATTTGCTGTTTTTATATTCAAGAATTATTAGAATATAAATCATTTCATAATCCTGTATGTACTAGCATAAATACATTATCATTCTAATGTGTAGTTGTAGAACTATACCTTGGATTTCCCCATGATGATGACATGAGTGCTTAGACCACCCCCATACCTACCCAGATGGTCTTCTTTTTAATTGATGGGTGGCAGTGAGGTTGGGTCTTCAACCTTTGACTGACAGTACAATTCATTTTATGATCTGTGCTTTACATACTCTAAGTTTTCTATTATGCTCAGGATAATATAACTTTTTATGGAGCAATTTTTATGAGTTTCTAATTCCAGCAGCATTAATTGAGTGATATTAATGCTATTATGCAAACCACCTGAATCTTAATTTTGACCTTTTTTTCTAAACCATTTGTGTTCATTTGAGAGCTGATATAAGTCCTTCCTCTCTTCTTATAGAAATATATGCAGAGCATAGTAAATGTATAACTTATAAAGTAGTTAATTAAGATGTTGCTATGGGGATCAAAAGCAATTACTTTAAAAAACATACACAATGGGGATGGATACTTGTAATACAAGTATAACTAGGAACCTTGAAACTAATCTTTTGTGTCCTAACATTATCAAACAATACCTTTTTTAAGAGGTAATTTGTCATTACATGGGCGTGCCAGGCTTCATGTGCACAGTTGCCCACACCTAGTTGATAATCTTCTAGATTATTTTTAACAGATCACTTCAGATTACTGTCATTACTTGGGTTGGAACGGAATTCAAATGAAAGAATTAGTCAAGGAGAGGATATATGAAGATTTCCCTGAAGTACTTGAAATTTTCCATTGCCAAAATAAAATTCTAAAAAAGCCACATTACCCCTCAGCTCTTTTCCCTAAAATTCAAAGATTGCTTGCTGGTGATTGTTTAAATAAGGGATTCTTTATACTTACTGATAATGGATAATAATCAATAAGTGTTTTATACAGTGATAGATTTCTCCTTTCCATTAAGTCACCCCACATTTTTCTGTTTTCTTTTGTAGCTTCATACTTTTCTGGTGATGGAACTTCTGAATGGGGGAGAACTGTTTGAACGCATAAAGAAGAAGAAGCACTTTAGTGAGACGGAAGCCAGCTACATCATGCGGAAGCTCGTGTCGGCTGTCAGCCACATGCACGACGTCGGGGTGGTGCACCGGGATCTGAAGCCGGAGGTATAAAACAGTGTGATCTCTTTTACAATCCACCTGACATCACTATTAAAACCCCCCAAGTGGTTGTGGAATTTGGGGGATTTATTTGTTTCCCCAGAGGTGTTAAATAGATACTTGAAAATATCACAGGGTGTGGGTGGCTCTTTTCTATGTCAGTCTAAAATAAATTTGTCTTTTTTGATGTTTTGGTTTTATGGGATTTTTTGGGTTGTTTGTTTCGTTTGGGGCCAGCTGATCATCTTGAGGTTATATTTGTAAGTGTGAGAACCTTTTATGGAAAAAATACTTTTTGCAACAGTTGTGGACTAAAAATAGCAGTGGAAAATTTTTGTAGCAGAAAATAATATCCCTTCATATATGTACTCCATTTTGGAGAGATTTTTAATGACGTATTTTGAAAACTTATTTTTCATGTTTGTAATAAACTGATAAGTTCCTGAATAAGAATGTACATAATCTTATTCAACATACTTAAACATAAAGCATTATATTGGTTTAATAAGTTTTGCCATCTTTGTATGGGCTTTTTGTGCTCGGAGTATAATATTTATAGAACTGTGTAGCAATGCACAAGAAGCAGCTTTTAATATATTTCTTCTTTTGAAAGGTTAATAAACAAGGTTCTTACTCAGAGTAATCCCTTTTTAGTATATAAAACTCATTTTTGAAAATCAACAAAATAATAATGAAAATTGAAAAACAAAACCCAGTAATTTATAAAAAGATAACAGTGAATCATCCCTTGCCATGTGCACAATTATACATATTGCTTCTCTAAAATAGAACTTTATTTTTAGATCCCATGTGATTATAGTGCATTTTTAAGTATATTTAAGATATTAGTGTATTTGATGTTTCTTTTTTGTTAACAAAAGAATATTTCTCTAAAGACACAGTTTTTGCTTTTTATTTAAGTATCTTTCATCATTAGAGAAAGAGGATATTTTAAAAATGGGAATCTGTATATTCAAATATCCAGTCATCCTTCTGGTTCTGTGGAGGACTGGTCAGTCCCAGAACTCCCACGACCTCAGATTCCAGGGACGCTCAAGTCCCTTGTAAGAATGTCCCTTGTGTATTATCTACATATAACCTACACACATCCTCCCTGTACCTTAATTCCCCTCTAGAAGGTTTATAACACCAATGCAATGTAAGTACAATTTAAATAGTTATATGAAATTGTTTAGGGGATCATGACAAGAAAAGGCTGTGCATGCTCAGTACAGCTGCAGTTTTAAGTTTTTAATCCATGGATGATTGAGCCTGAAGTTATAAAACTCAGTAACCTGGAGGGATGACTATAATTGATCATGCCTGTAAAGTGTTTGACTTCTGTGTACTTCCTATTAGTTATCCCCATTACTAGTAATTAATCCAAAGTGCACTGTGTTTGATGAACTTGCCACTCTGCTCCCCTCTGCTTCCCTCCTCCTGGCTCACTCTTTCCTTACACAACGCCCACAGAAAATATGGTGCTCTGTACATTGGAGATTAGCTGTCTATTTTTAAATGTGAAAGCACACCACTTAAATGTTTTCTTGATAGACAAGGAACAAGCATGTAGTTTTTTTAATGGAAAAGAAGATCTGTTCCATGACTGTATAGAATTCATTTTCACATGTTTTATTCTTTGATAACTGGCCATCTGTCATCTCATGAGTCTGAAATGAGGCAACTGTCCTCTGCAGCACAATTTAAAGTTGCCTTCCTACTCCTTTGATAAAAAGATACTTAATTTTCTTATTTGTGATAAGCCTTTTTTTTTTTCATTTGGAATGAAACAAAATTGTCAGATTATTGAGGACATTCTACAACAGTTATAGTCTTAAACCATAACTAGATTTTTAAGAAATGAAAATGTACCTTTGAACTAACATCTTCACAATCATATAGCTTTCACTTGGACTCTTAAATGGCAAAATATATTATTTCCAAACCAAAAGTGTAATCCCTTTCCAATGTGGCATTTGAAGTTCTGATTATATATCTTTTGGTCGATGGTGATGGAGCATCCGTTTCAGCCTAGGCAAAATCCTAAGTTCTGGGTGAGAGATAATCAGATAAATTTAGAAGCTGGCTGACATTCTTAGTAGGCTGCTTTGTGTTTTTCAAACTGGCCCTATCTTCTTAGAAGATTAAAAAAAGTTGTATCTATCACATAGTTTTAGGCAGAACTTGAAATGAGGCTGAAAGGGCATTGACGGCTTCCTGATCAAGCACACACACGCACACACACACGCACACGCTCACCTGCACGCACCCCACGCAGAGCTGTCTCAAAGCCTCTGTTTTGTGCTGTGGGAGAGGTGAGCAGAGTGCTCCATTTCTACAAGCTCAGGAATAGGAGGAATGGTTCAGAGTCACCAAATTAAAGTGAACGCCACATGCCCTCATTTTCTCCACTTCTAAAACTAAAATGGAGGGGGTCCTTTGTCAGTCTTAATATGAAATAAACCTATGTCGTTTCCAAAGGCTTAGCAAGCAAGCACAGTTCAGAGGGCCAGTGCACTGACTGCTCTGGGCAGCACATGCCTGGCGCTACGAGGGGGCTCCAGTTTTGTTTACCCGGAGACTTCTCCAAGCAGACATTCACACACCCAGCTGTGGCTTCACTTGTCACAAACTAAAGGTCAAGCATTGTATGATAGAAAATTTAGGAGAACTTTTAATGTTTTTTTTTTCCTCACACTTGACTCATTTTCAGCTTCTAAGTGAAAGGCTTAAAAGGTTTTTCTTCTTTGTATCAATGAAACTTTCTGTCATGTCTTTTATTTCAGCTGGAGTAGCATTAACAGAGCAAATGATATTCTAGCACTGGGAAGAATTGAACCAGTATAAAGGCATAGCAGATTTTGTTAGGATATCTAAAGACAGGATAGTCCGATTCACTCACTTAGCCTGAGGTGCTGATTTAAATGATTGTACATTAGAACAGCTAACGTTTATTAAGCATGTAGCAAGCCCCAAAGTAGTAAAGTAACAATCTAGATGTCCTTGGTAAATTAATGATCAAAATAACCATGTTTTCTGAATATTTGAGGCATATCTGAACATTCAAATATATTTAAATATTAACAGTTTTGAATAAAATGTTTCTGAAGCATAATACCTACCTCTACCATGTTTTCTTTAATAGACTATACTAGATATTATATAACTTTTATTTATGCCTTTATTCAGTGAACAATATTGGCATACCTCAGAGATACTGCAGTTTTGGTTGCAGGCTACCCCAATAAAGTGAATATTGCAGTAAAGCATATCACAGGGTTTTTTTTCCCCCAGTGCATATTATTGTTATTCTACACTATAATCTATAAAGTGTACAATAGCACTGTGTCTGAAAAAACATGGTTCATACCTTGATTTTAAAATATTTTATTGCTAAAAGATTCTAACTACCTTCTAATCCTAAAGTTTTGCTGGTGGAGGGTCTTCCCTGGATGCTGATAACTGCTGCTGATCAGGTTGGGCTCACTGTGGCCGTTTCTTGAATAAGTCAACAATGAAGTTAGATGTCTTGATTAACTCTTCCTCTCATGAAATATTTCTTGGTAGTGTGGGATCTGCGTGGCAGCATTTTACCCACAATAGAACTAATTTTGAAATTGTAGTCAATCTTCTCAAACCTTTCCACTGCTTTATCAACTAAGTTTATTTCTTATTCTAAACCCTTTGTTGTCATTTCAGCAGTGTTCACAGTGTCTTTCGAGGAGTAAATTCCATCTCAAAAAAACCTTTTTCGCTCACCCATAGGAAACAATTCCTCATGTGTCCAAGTTGTGTCGTGAGAGGGCAGCGGTTTAATCACATCTGCAGGCTCCACTTCCTATTCTAGTTCCTTGACATTTCCACCGCATCTTCAGTTACTTCCCCCACATAAAGCCTTGAGCCCCTCAGAGTCCAAGTATTTGGAATCAACTTCTTCCAACTCCTGTTCTGTTCACATTTTGTCCTCCTCCCAGGAATCATGCATGCTCCTAGTGGCATCTGGAATGGTGAATCCTTTCCAGAAGGTTTTCAGTCTGCCTTGCCCAGGTCAATCATAAGAATCACACCTACGACAGCTGTAGCCTTATAAAATCTATTTCTTAAATAACAAGACTTGAAAGTCAAAATCTCCTCCTTGTCCCAACACAATGTGAGCACACATTGTTGGGAAAACAGTGCTGGGAGACTTGCTCAACCCAGGGCTGCCACAGATCTTTAATTTGTTTAAAATGCCTTATCTGAGTTAGGCACAGAAGTGCACACCTGTAATCCCACCTATTCAGGAGGCTGAGGTAGGAGGATTGCAAGTGCCAGGCGAACCTAGACACCTTGGTAAGATCCTGCCTCAAAATTTAATAATTTTTAAAGAGCCAGGGACATAGCTCTGTGGTAGAGGGCACCTGGGTTCAATCTCCAGTACTATGCAAAAAAAAAAAAAAATCCCCAAAACTTAAACACACATATACACACACACAAATGTGTTATCTGCAAAGAGCAATAACATGATGCACAATCAAATGAGGAATGCCTGTACTTACCAAAGCACCTACACTAAAACTAGGGACACAGTCATAGAAGTGGACACAGAGTCCCCACCCTTATGAAAGTATGGTCTAGTATATCAGAATATTAAACTAAAAATGCAGAGATGGTAAGTGCCAGGAAGGGAAAGCAAGCCAGGCTGGGAGAAAACACGAAAAGCTCTAACTTCAGTTGGGTAGAGGGCTAGGGTGGTGTCTCTAGAGGAGGAGGAGGGGGTTGGTAGGTGGGCTGGAAGGGGGGTTGTAGAGGAAGTGGCAGGCAGACTCAAGCCAAAGGAAAAGAGACATGTACAGTCGAAAAATGCCTCACCCAACATTGTAAAATGGAAAAGTATAAAAAGTATAAAATATACATTGACATGCAGCCCCAAAACACTCCCTGTGAGCCCTCTCCCTGTGCATGATGTGCTCCATGAATGGGATCACAGATCCTCTGACATTTCAATAAGAAACCAACTGAAGTATTGGTATCTTGCAGAATTTATTGTTCACTGATGAAAATGATAATTTGGAAATTAAAGTTATCGATTTCGGGTTTGCTCGCCTCAAGCCGCCTGACAATCAGCCCCTGAAGACCCCGTGCTTCACCCTTCATTACGCAGCCCCAGAGCTCTTGAATCACAATGGCTACGATGAGTCCTGTGACCTGTGGAGCTTGGGTGTCATCTTGGTGAGTGTCATAGAAGAGCCACTAAACCTGGTCAGTTCTTAGGTGTCCTCTGTAATTTTCTCTCTCTGTTGTTTTTCTTGAATTCATAAAAAAAAAAAAATAGAAAAATGGCCAATTGTTTTCTTTTCTGTACAGCCAATTAGAAGGCCTATCAAAGAATATGTCCCTTTCTTAAAACTTACACTAGAGAAAATGTTGGAACTGGGTTTATTTTGAAATATTTAAGTTACCTATTTCATATGAATGAGTTATGTTATTTTTTAAAAGAAGCATGAATGTATTTTTATAAGACATATTGGATATAATGTGAAAGTAGTAGAGTGACTCTTTAATACAAAAACACTTCAAGAGCTTATGTGAGACTTCAGACTAAAAATGTAATTAAAGAAAATCATTTAGGATAAGTTAACAAATTAATAGATCAAACTAGAAATATTTGTGGTAATTTATAGCAATTGTGGTGAGCATGCTTTTCACCAAATGTGCCTAGATGATGTAATCAGAAAATAAACATTAAGCGGGGAAAAAAAAATCTCAGAATTTTTTTTGCCTCAAAATACCTTTACTTTTTCTGCATGTAGTGCATAGTACATGATCTTAGAGGGAAATTTTGAGATATTCCAGAAAGATGCAAGAAACAAAGTGAAAGTTGCTCATAACCTTTCCACTCAAAGATGATGTTGAGCAAGCTTCCCTTGCCCTCAGTCCCCCGCTGCACATGTCCCCCAGTTGCAGTGTATCTTGTATGTTTTTATATATGTGTATATGTATGGAATTTTTAAAATATTTTTTTTAGTTATTGTTAGACCCTTATTTTATTCATTTATTTTTATGTGGCACTGAGACTCAAACCCAGTGCCTCACACATGTCAAGCCAAGCACTCTACCCCTGAGCTACAATCCCTGTGTATGGAATTTTTAACAAATGGGATTATATTATACATGTAGTTCGAGTCTGTGAAATTTCTTTTAAATATTTCTTTGATAATTATCTGTTAGCATTTTCCATTTTTTCACTAATTATAAACTACACAAGTAAATATTTTGCACATTATGTTTGCATTTTTCTCATTATTTCCTTAGGACAGATTCCTAGGGGATGGTAGGTGCATCTTTATTTCAACATGGATGCCTAGATTCCCTGTTAGAAGATTCACCAGGTTATGTTCCCATCAACTGTATGAGAGAACATTGAATGCTGTCCGTATCAATCTTAAATTAGTCCCTACTGTTCTTATAATTAGCAAGTATTTCTTTGATGAATATTCACTCTCAGCATATTTTCATGTTTTTGGACATTTGTATTTTCTCAGTTATAAATTGTTTCTTATGAGCTTTGCCCATTGGTCTATGGGGAGATTTTTTTCTACTTAATCTTAAAGGTCTGTTAAGGATTTTAATCCTTTGTCTGCCATCAATATTGGATATGTTTTTCTAGTTTACCCTTTGTTTGAAATCTTTGTTTATACGCTGGGGCTGCAGCTCAGTGGTAGAGCTCTTACCTAGCACATATGAGGCACCAGGTTTGATCCTCAGCACCACATAAAAATAAATAAATAAAGGTATTGTGTCCATCTACAACTAAAAATATTTTTTAAAAGAAAACTTTGTTTATAGTAATATGGAATTCTGATTTTCTTTTTAGAGAAGTTTATAAATAGAGGAGTTTTTTCCTGATGTGTCAGCCTTTCCCTATGTGTGGCTTTGATGTCAGGCTGTCACTCCATCCCTGCCCTCATCCCAAGATTTTAAAAGTAGTCTCCTAAATTTCCTCCAGCATTACTCTGTTTTATTTTTGTGCCTCAATCTGTCCTCCATCTGGGGTTTATTTTAGTGTCAGTTGTTCTCCCCCAATGGCAGCCACTTGTCCCTACAGGATGGTTCTTCTTTATTTTAAGCTTTATTTGGTTTTCATCTGAGCACTTTTAAATCATCATTTATCATTGTCAAATTAATGTACTTTTGAATAAGATTATTTTTAGTAAAAATAAATAACTCTAGGGCTGAGGTTATGGCTCAGTGGTAGAGCACTTGCCTGGCACGTGGGAGGCACTGGATTTGATCCTCAGCACCACATAAAAATAAATAAAGGTATTGTGTCCATCTACAACTAAAAAAGTTTTAAAATAAACAACTATAAACAATTGTAAAAACAAATCTACTATAGGTTTGAAGAGTTTTATGGACTTAAATTGATGGCATGTTCATTAGCAGCAATGTCTTTAAAAAAACTGATGAAAATAAAAAAGAGCCTTTGATTTCTAGTATCACTTTTCTTTTCCATTGGAAAAAGAGACTTCCATTAAATCTAGGCCAGTTGTGACCAGCAAACTCTTAAGGTTTAAGAGTCTTAGACGTGTAGAGAGGTATCTTAGAGCCCAAGTGTTATTTCTATGAAAGCAACTTTCCATAGGGCATGGATGGAAGCAGTGCTGCCCCCCTAGATGGGATTATCACATTTTGAGAAAAATGGGATATAAAACAGGGTAAGTGATAGCAGAGGACAGTCAAAATGTCCAGACTATGGGCAATTTAGAAACCACCTTTTTTTTTGTAGTTTCCATTTCTTATAATATCCGTGTTTTTCAGTTATAAGAGTATAACTACAGTGTGTATCATGCCCACATCTAACATGATACTAAATTTGATCTTGATCTTTATTTTGCTGGGAAGGCTTACTGATGTTCCCATGAGGGAATATTGCTGGTACCGATTGACTCTGATGAGCTGTTATAAATAATCTTGAGTGGATATCTTTATTCATATAATTTTCATAGTCTTTGGATTGGGGATGTTAATGTCTCAGAAATGAGATTATAGGGTTGTACTTTTAGTCACATCCAACTTGCTTGATTTTTATTTATTAGTTTTGAGGGGTTACAATCTTTTTTAATTTGTTCTTTTTAGATATACATGACAGAGTATATTTTGAAATACATACATGGAGTATAACCTAAAAAAAGTATTCTCAATACTTTTGTTTGTTAATTACTCAAATTCTAATCAGGATCCCATTCTGCAGTTGTACATGATGTGGAATTTCACTAGTAAAAATATGTATTCATATATGAGCGTAGGAAAGTTATGTCAGACTCATTCTACTGACTTTCCTATTCCCATTCCCCCTCCATTCCCTTCATTCCCCTTTGTCTAATCCAATGAGCTTCTGTTGTTCCCTCCCCGCTTATTGTGTGTTAACATCTGCATATCAGAGAGAATTCAGCAGCCCACATCTCAAGCAAGTAAATTATAAGAAAAGATAACTTGGGAACCTACAGATTAAAAGACACTTGAGCAATAATGTTTACATTTTACTTGAATCCTGATTAAAGCAAGATCGAAATTCTGTGTATTGAATTCAAATTCTAAAAGTAATTCATACAGATGTTATTTATATATATATATATATATATATACACACCCACAATATGTATAACACAATGAGATTTTGAACATACAAAGAAATGACTGCTAATTTTTTAAGTGTGATAACGGCACTGTGGTTATAATTTTTAAAAGTCTTGCTTTTTAAAGATACAAGATGAAAGTGAAAAAAATTAACACCTTCTTTAAACTGTCAAAAAAAGAGAGAAAGCTTTGCATAAATGAATGAATATCTCCAGACATCTAGAATACAAAGCCTGAATTATCCCATAGCAAGCACAAAATTTATTTGAAGTCTCCTGATGTACCTTAGAAATGTATGGCCCTTTTGCATTTTCCATCTAATAGATGTAAATGTGGGTATTTTATTAAGAAAAGGAACTATTTTACCCTGAGTAAAATAAGTACTCCAAGAAAATATATCCTGTAGTATCATCTGGCTTTTTTTTTAAGTTATTTTTTAGGTGTGATTGGACACAATGCCTTTATTTTATTTATATTTACTTGTTTTTATGTGGTATTGAGGATCAAACCCAGGGCCTCACACATGCTAGGTGAGCGCTCTACCGCTGAGCCACACCCCAGCCCTCATCTGGCTTTGATTACAACCCAGTATATGCTGTGGAAGTATAATCCCAGTCTGAATGTGTAGGGCTTAATTAAAATAGAGGTTACACAGCATATTAATGTTTGTGCAATCACAGAATACCACAAACTGGATGACTTAAACAGCAGATTTATTTTCTATGGTTCTAGAGCCTGGGTAATCTAAGATTGAGGTACCAGTAGAGTTGGCGTCTGGTAAGGACCCCCCTTTGGGTCACAAACAGCTACCTGCTCACCATGTGCTCATCAAAGCCTTTGGCTGGTACACGGTTCCACAGAGCTCTCTGTGGTATCTGTTCTTTTAAAGACACTAACCTGTTGGATCAGGACACTATTATATAATTTAATTTCACTTTAACTGCCTCCAAAAAACTCCCTCTCCATGTACAGTGGCATTGAGGGTTGGGACTTCAACATATGAATTTAGTTCTTTAACAAAGTATTTAGGAGATATAGGACAGGATATATAACATAACCAGTGATATAGCACATAATTCCATTTAAAATATATTTCCCCTAAATATTTTATTCTGGAGACATTAGTTTTTGTTTTTTGTTTTTTACTTTGTTCCCAAAAAATTTTATTTTGAAAATTTCAAAAGTAGAGGACGTGTGAGAAAAATACTACTAACATCTAGTATTTCACTGCATTTGCTTTTTTTTTCTCTGATTCTTCCTTGTGTGTGCTCTTACAATGTATTTATGTGTATGCATATGTTTATGGACATACATAATACATGTACACAGACACAGAGATTATTTCTGCATACACATGCAATTCTTGATATGTATTTCTGTTTAGATGTGTCTCTGTTTTGCACCACGTCATTTGTAGACAGAAAATTAATCTTAACAGAAATCGATTACTGGATAATCAACTAAAATTATAAGTCTATACCCCTTTGATAAAGGGGTACTTTGAAGTAGTAAAATGGTTTTATATTTGAATATCATAAAAATTCATGCCACTTTGTTTACAAGTCTTTGGAATGTAGGGTAACCTCAGTGATGGAAGTCATGTGGTCTTTTAAACCAAATAATGATAGTTGTAAAAGCTGGTGAGTTGTGCTAATTAAGTTGGCAGTAGGATTACTGGAGGGGCTGCGACAGTCATTCTGCTCTGTTACTTTTCTTCCATGATAGTATACAATGTTGTCAGGGCAGGTTCCATTCCAGTCTCATGACAGAAGTTTGACGTGCACCAGCGCAGTCGAAATCATGAAGAAAATTAAAAAGGGAGATTTCTCCTTTGAAGGAGAAGCCTGGAAGAATGTATCCCAAGAGGCTAAAGATTTGATCCAAGGTAAGAATCTCATGACGCTTGGTGTTCTGCAGGATGCATAGTGACTAAAGCGGAGTCGTGCCCCTTACACACACGTAACGTGTTTGTTAATTACTCACGGAGCCCATGGGTGTTCTCTGGGGTTTACCAGGCTGCACCTTTCATCCTGTCATCCTCTTCCGGACACTGTCCCTCAGTGATCTCGACATTTCCAGCATGGACTAATATATGGCTCCCACTGCATCTCAGTCGAAGAACTTAGATGTACTTTTCTACTGTCCTTTCCCCAAACATATTTCTTCTCCCACTTTCCTCCTTCAGGACAGTGGCACTACCCAGGAGCCAAGTCACTGAAACAGAAACCTGTCACCTGGCTGCCTGCACCTTCCTTGCCTTCTGCAGCCTGTCCCCTGGTGCTCAGGTTCAGCCACCCCCGGGCTGCCCTCCTTCCCACTTCCACCCAGGTGTCTTGGAGTCCAGCAGCATCCCTTCATTTGGACCCACTTCCTCTCGTTTGACCTGTCCATCTGTTGACTGAGTGACAAATGTGATCAGGGACTCTCCATCAGCTGCAGGTCTCACTCCTTAGCCTGGCGTTGAGACCTCAAGGCCTCCGTCACCTGGCCCTGCTTCCCCTGCTTCCCGGTTTCCACAGCTCTGCCACTGTGGGAAACTCAGATTTCTCCATTTCTTTCCATATAGAGCACCCTCTTCCTCCTGCCCACTTCTCATTCCACAGGACTCAACTCCTGGGATCCTTCCAGGATACCTGCTCTCCAAGGATGAGCCCTTCTCCCGGGCCTGCCAGCCCTGTCCCTGTGTGTTTTGTTACTAGTGCCCTCCTGTTAGACTGGCTCCCTCCTGTCCCTGTCTTTAGTCACCCTTGAGTCTCCAGTCCATGTCTCAGGAGAGCCTCCCACCCTCCCTGACTTGTAGCAGATGCTGGTAAAGGTCTGGACATGAGTGAAGTAGATCTAGGTCGTCTGTTCTCATTGGAGCTTACCAAGTCACCAGTGAGAGTCTTTGTTTTGGGGGTTTATTTTCTGATTGAAAAGCTCATTAGCCTACAGCCTCCTAGAAATAGGCGACTATGGCATTATCATCCAGTGTCCACTAGAAGATCTAAATATATTTGTATATATATATGTGTGTGTATATATATAATATATAATTATTTGCTGGGTACAGTGGTGAATGGTTGCAATCCCAGTGACTCGAATGGCTGAGGCAGGAGGATCACAAGTTCAAAGCCAGCCTCAGCAACTAAGCAAAGCCCTAGGTAACTTCATGAGACCTGTCTCAAAATAAATAAAAATGACTGCGGATGTGGTTGAGTGGTTAAACACCCCTGGATTCAACCTTCAGTAAAAAAAAAAAAGTATGGGCTGTGGTTGTGGCTCAGAGGTAGAGCGCTCGCCTACCACGTGTGAAGCCCTGGGTTCGATCCTCAGCACCACATATAAATAAAATAAAAATAAAGATATTTTTTTAAAAAAGTAATTATCTTTGTAGCAAGTTGAAGCCTCATTGAAATCTTCATGTCATGAACATAATTGAAATTTATGTCTGAGTTAGATGTTTAAACCAGGTTTAAAATGGCAAACCTTAAAATATATTATTTATTCCCACAGGACTTCTCACTGTTGATCCAAATAAAAGACTTAAAATGTCTGGCTTGAGATACAATGAATGGCTTCAAGATGGCAGTCAGCTGTCCTCGAATCCTCTGATGACTCCAGACATTCTGGGATCTTCGGGAGCTGCCGTGCACACCTGTGTGAAAGCAACCTTCCATGTGAGGCTCTGCACTACGCACATGGCAGGCGGTTTGAAAAGGGATTGTAACCACATTTCTTTTTTTAAACATTTTTAGTTGCAGATGGACACAATACCTTTATTTAATTAATTTATTTTTTATGTGATACTGAGGAGTGAGCCCAGTGCCTCACACATGCTAGGCAAGCGCTCTGCCACTGAGCCAAAACCCCTGACCCATAACCACATGTTCTTATTTGGTAGTCTCAGAGACATGCTGTCTTTTAACACATTTACAATATATTCACCTTTTAATTTTTATAAACTGCTTCATACTGCTTCATAAACTGCTTTAATTTTTATAAACTGCTTCACTCTCCTAGAATGTGTGAAGCACTGAGTTCAATTCTCAGCACCACATATAAATAAATTAATTAAATAAAGGTCCATTAACCTCTAAAGAATATTTTATTAAAAAAAGAATATACAAAGTACTTATTTGGTGTTTAGCATGAGTTTGTAAGAGGAGACAGTAATCTGATGTTTGAATAGTTGAAAGATTTTAATAAGTAATGAAAACAACTTAAACAAGCATACATAATAAAAAAGTTTTTCCCCCAAACAAAATCATGTTTTTAAACCATAACTAAATGTTAGGAACTAAGACATAAGAAAAGTCTATTCATTCAACAACCCACCCATTAGTGCATGTCATGGTCTAGGACTGAGGGATTTGAAGTGAGTTAATTGTATAAATATAGACTGTATCCTTAAAAAGCTGACACTACATGATGATAACCACATTATGTACCCTTGTGTCAAGCAAATACAATTATATCAAGATAATTAGCATAAGAAATAATGGAGTAGAGAGATTTAAAAATTTTCCCTAACAGACTTATGTTGAGCCATCAGCACCAGGATTTGATTTTAGAAGTCATAGCTGGACATGGTAGTGAACACCTGTAAGCCTAGCTATTTGAGAGTCTAAGGCAACAAAACCAAAAGTTCAAATCCAGCCTGCATAAATTAGCAAAACCCTATCTCAAAATAAAAAGGGCTGGGGATGTAGCTTAGTGATAGAGCACCTGCCTAGCTGTGAGAACCCTGGGTTCAATCCCTAGTACTACCCAAAAAAAGAAAAGAAAAATAGGGGCTGGGTATGTAGCTCAGTGTTAGAGCACTTGCTTAACATGTGTGAGGCCTTGGGTTCAATCCCTGGCACTGAAAATAATAATAATAATAATAATAAAATTTAAAAAGTAACAAACCAGAAAATGTTGGAAAGTAGCTGCAAGAATTTAAGCCATCTGGACTAGGACTGAGGCTCAACAGTAGAGCACTCACCTAGCATGCATGGGGCCTTGGGTTCCATCCTCAGCCCACATAAAAATAAATGAATGGAATAAAGGTATTGTGTCTGACTACAACTAAAAATAAATAAATATTTTTTTTTTTAAAAAAGGAATTTAGGCCATGTGATCCAGGTCTTCTCAGTGATGACCATGATGCGAGTTTGTCAAGGTGCCTGCACCACTGCCCACACTTGAGCTAAGAAGGATCAAGACAGGCTGCTGTGAGGAAGAAGCCGGGGTGGGATTTGCAGAGCTACGATTCTCTGTGTATATTAAGTGACCAAAATAAGCTCAAGTGACGTTGCACTGGGTGTACAGAGCAAGGACCTACAATGGATTGAATCTGCTCTGTGTTGGAATTTTGTGGCTGGAATTTTCAATCTTAGACATGAAACCAGTAAAAGTAACAGAAAGGATTGTTGCTTCAGATGACTGATGTTCTTCAAGACTTTCCAGTTAGTCAGTGGTTTCTCACTGAGATGTAACACTAACTTCTTAAAAAGATTTATTAAATGAGCAGAGGTGTAGCTCAGGGATAGAGTGCCTTGCCTGGCATGCACAAGGTCCTGGGTTCGAACCCCAGCGCCACAAAATAAATAAACAAATGAAATCCTGACTCCTGGACAGCCTGGCTGGTGTGATGAAACTCAGAATTCTTTTCCCATGAGCTTCTCTTCCCTTCAGCAGGTTTGGGTATAAAAGTTTTGTTCCCAGAACAGCCTTAGAGCTTTGGTTGCCATAGGAAGTTGTCCTCTGCTATAAGTTGTATTTACTGCAAAAATGTCAATACTTTTTTCTTTTGTTCTTTTTAGTTATACATGACAGTAGAATGTATTCTGGCATATTTTACATACACAGAGTGTCACTTATTCTAATGAGGATCCTATCATGGCTGTCATGATATAGAGTTACCCTGGTCGTGTATTCAGATAGGAGGCTGGGAAAGTTATGTCCGATTCCTTCTACTGTCCTTCCTATTCTCCTCCCTCCTCCCTTACCTTCATCCCCTTTGTCTAATCCAAACGACTTCTATTCTTCCCCTTTCCCACCCTCCCTTGTTTGGGGCTAGCCTCCATTTATCAGAGAGGACAACTGGCCTTCGGTTTTGGGGGGATTGGCGTATTTCACTTAGTATGCTATGCTCCAGTTCCATCCATTTCAAAAATGTCAATATTTTTACCTTCCCTGTTTTTCTCCCCTAGGCCTTTAACAAATACAAGAGAGAAGGATTTTGCCTTCAGAATGTCGATAAGGCCCCATTGGCTAAGAGAAGGAAAATGAAAAAGACCAGCACCAGTACAGAGACCCGCAGCAGCTCCAGCGAGAGCTGCCATTCTTCCTCCTCCCATTCCCATGGCAAAACCACGCCCACCAAGACCCTGCAGCCCAGCAACCCTGCTGATAGCACTAACCCAGAGAGCCTCTTCCAGTTCTCGGACTGAGAGACCGACATGTGCATGGTAGGAATGTCCTCCGTGACCGTGGCACCTTGCTCTCCCTCAGCATGATCCTGAGGTGGTGGTCTGTGCTTTAAAGAATGTGTTCCGTTGGTCTCATTGGGATCTGCTCCTAGTGAATTTTTTCAGGAAAACTGTTTGGTTATCCTTGAACAAGAGCACTGAACAGGGAATGTCACTGTGAATGGAGCATTTGTGATACCCTTAACAACCTAGCATGATACCAACAGGATGATTCTTGAAAGGGCAAAGGTTTCTGTACATTTACTAGGTCCTTGTTAGATGACGCTGCCTACAATGTCAGTCACAGGTTCTCCAATGTCTGCCAACAAGACTTGACGCCTTTCACTAGGCCTCATGGACAAGGTGGGTTTTTAAGAGATTTGTACCCTTTGGATAGTGATTTAGCAGAGCAAGAGGTCTGTTTTCAGAAAAAGATTCTGTAATGAATTTTGTGTGTGGCATATACTTATTTCTTGAGAGAGAATTTTAACTTATTGTTTTTATTTTATGGTTATATATGATAATAACTTGCTATTCATCTTTTTCTAAAAAGTTAAAAAAAAAAAAAAGAAGTTATTAGAACTCGAGGTCCCATGCCTTGTGTTTGGGAGCCACGTGAGATGCATGCTAAGTTGTGTATGTTTTTAATTTTGCACTGCCTTTTCCTGGTAATTAATTTTAAAGATCATTGCAAAATATTAAGGTACATGTCCCTTTGTTTTAAGTAATATTGCACTTTATAGAAGAGTGTGTGAATAAATCAATCTGTTTTATAAAGTGCACTGTTGAAAGCATATGTACTGTATGTTTGCTGGGTTTTTTTCCATCATCTACTTTAAATTTGTCCTCACATCCCTCTTCTGCTTTGTATGCAACAAGTAGAATGGGGTGCTTTGTATAATGTGTCATTAGCCACTTATGCACCAATCTGAGGGAAAACTAAAGGGAAATTTTACTCAACACTGTGCTTCGTATGGGTACACTGTGTTGTGCTACAGTGAGGTATTCCCTCCTGTAGTCAAATATTATGTACATAATATTTTAGAATCATACCTATGACTTGTTTTGAATTTTTTCTGTTGAATTTTAAATCCAGAAAGCATTTTATAAATTTATGCAGAGCACTTTTATTGCTCAAAAGTTCTGAATTCATACAGAAAACAAGTGCTATGCGATGAAGACATTTCATTAAGATTGCTGCATTTTAAAATAGAATTAATTCATTCCCTATGCAAAAAAAATTAAGTGACAGAATTTGTACATTATGTTTTCTTTTAAAGCCATCACATAAAATGCCAGGACTGAGAAAAGTGATCTTTGCTATGTTTACAGGAATCATGCTTAAAAAGATAATGCCCAACATGTTTATTTTATAGTTTTTGTTAATGATAACCTCTTGATCATGGGTTTGGAATTTGGGCATGATATTTATTTACTCCTTTCCTGAGGTAATAGCAGCATTAATTTCAACCAGTTATAAATACTAAAAATATTGCACTCTCTGTATTGGTAGCATATTTATTACTGAATCAATGTGTATACTAATGGCACAGGCAACAAAAATGGCAAATATTAAAATATTTTCAAAAAATTGTATTATCCTGTTCACATTTTTGTCCATGATGGTTTTGGGGAATAACTTTATACTTTTTACTGGCGCAAATGACTTCATAATTCTCAAGGAGTCAATGAAAGTTTTTGTACTTCTTTCAGTCATTCCTAGTAATGATGGGAAATTTTGTGTGAATTATAAACAAACTATAGCTAATTTATAAAATGTGATGCCATCAGGTACATATTTATAATTTTTAAAAATGTCTGTTTATTTTGACCTTGGGTATACTTATATTTGGAAATGTGTAAGTTAGCTCTTCGAGTCATCTTTTAAACTATGAATCCTGGTAGAAAATATGAGTTGAAACAGAAACTAAAGGGACTATGTTTACAAAAGAAAATGATCCAGAAAAATGGTTCAACAGCACACCCCAAGATTGATGATGGGTTGACTCCCTGCAAATGTTGGAATGGACACGTTTTGCTCTCATTTCTTCTCCCTACAACTTCTCCTGGAGGACTTGACCGACCCTGAGACCAGCAAAGGTGGGCAGAGTAAGAGGAGGGAGAAAGGATGTGGCTCTCCATTAGCTGAAGAGCTTGCCTCAGTCATCCAGAAGGGCTTTGGAAAAGACCTTGGAAAACACACAGCGTGTGCTCTCATCAGGTAGTGACATCCTCCCCTGGCTTATCAGTACCCAACATATGGCATTCCAAGAAGCACAAGTCACTAAGCTCTCCTTTGGTAACATCAAAATTCAATGGTAAAAAATATTTTATATAAAAGTATACAGTGAAGGACTCTTTTGTGATACTAGGAGTTAAGCAGAAGATCTAAAAAAAAAAACCAAATATATATTAAATTTTCTTTATGACATTAACTTGGAGGATAGAACCAGTCATCCCTTCCCTTCTTCACTACTATTGTGTTGTATATGACTTAGGCCAGCATACATCCTAAGTCAGATATTTTGTAACTATACGTCTAATTCATTGGGAGGCAAGTAAGGAAAGGAAGGTAGGTAATGGAGGAAAGAAATTAAGATCAGTTCCTTGTAATTACCATGCCAGACCTGTGGCTAAATGAGTTAAATTGGCTATTTTGAAATTCACTAATTCTCCCAAGCCCTCTGATCTACTGGGATAGAACATATAATAAGAAACCCACTGATAAGAAATAAGAAACCCGCTGATCTACTGGGATAGAACATCAGTCTTCCAAATTAATTTCAACCTGATTGGGAATTGCAGTTCATTTATTTTTAAAAAACTGCCTTTTAATTTTTTCTTTTAGATTACTGCTAATTTCTTGAATAAGTATGTAAAGGACTATATTTTAATTATAAATTATTTTAAAGAATCCTACCAGGACAGATGATTGGTTTATTATTGTTATTTTCCTTTTCAAATGAGGAAATTCTCTTGGTTACTCACTCTATACTCACTTTGTTTTTGAAGTATGTACTCAGATACATTATAAAAAGTATACAATTTATTATTTACTTATTCACTAGGCCTCCAACTTGCTATTATCATACTTAATAAGAACAAGGTACCTTACAATATTGAAAATTGGTAAATTATTCCAAATTATTGGCTCTCTCTCTTAGACCACCTGATGACTTTACATGTTCTCTCAGTTACCCATAGCATGAGTAGACAGATGTATGTGGGAACACTTCTCATATTCCTTAAAATCTAAGCAAGTTAAATTTTTATGTACCACTTACATTATGTCAAAATAATTGTCTTATAGATGAATTATCACAACAATGAAATATCATTTTAACAACAGAGTTTTTAAAATATTTTTTAGTTGTCAATGGACCCTTATTTTTATTTATTTATATGAGGTGCTGAGGATCAAACCCAGAGCCTCACACATGCTAGGCAAGCACTACCACTGAGCCACAGCCCAGCCCAACAATGAAAGATCTTAAAATGATGATATTTGGTCTCTTACACATTCACACCCCATTTTTTCTGGCCTTTACTTAATTATACCCCATATGTACAAAGTAAAATGAATCATACTTTAAAACTCACAAACCTTTCACTAGAATATCCATTGTCACTTGATCTGGCACAAAAATGAATGTGGTAAGCTCTAATGAAATTTGGAATTTAAATGAGTCATTGTAAAACTCAAGAATGAAACGGAAAAGACAAGATGAACAGAGGAAGTATGTGTCAAGTAGTTTTAAGAATAATGGGCCCAAAGAAAATAGCAGCTATAGCATCATAAAGGTTTTATTCACTGTCTTGTGAAGTAACTTCTCTCTAAATCGAGACATTCTTTAGAGAGAATATTTTCCTTCTGATTTGTTCTTTAAATCTTGTTTCTTCAGGGAGAAAAGCGTGTTTTCGACGGAGCATTGTCTTAAGAACTTCTGATGAGTCTCACTTCAGTCCTACCTTCAGATCACTTACCTTGGGGCTTTCTGGATAGTTCTTCTGAGCCCTCTTCTTTGTCTGCCCAGCTCTCCCTCCAAATGCTGCTTCTCCTACCTACCCAAGGCTGCTGTCATCCTGCTTCATGAATTTGTGAAGTAAGGTGCCAGTATTTTCATACTCTCCTGTGAGACTGAAAGAGTTAAGAAACTCCCAGATGCGTCAGGGTCTCTGCACTAAGGCACAATAGGTGCTGTTGATCGAGGCCATTTCCTGTCCTCCATCACTTCTGACCATGCGCACAAGCTAACACTTTGCATTCAGAAGGAGACTTAAGTTAAAAAACGAGATTCTTGGCAGTTCTTCATCCGGCTTAATTTTCTTAGTATATTTCTGCTGGGAGAGGGGGAAGAACATTTTGTAATATTTTCCTAGTTAGAATGCTGCTTGGCCAATTGTAAAGCATTAATTATTTCAAATGAGTAAAATTTGTATTTAATACAGCAGCTAGTCTCCACAGCACAGGAGTCTGGGGGATATCGACCATTATTCCATTATTCTTTCCCATTGTGTGACACTTTTGTTTCCATTGTTCTTTTCCTTATTTTGTCTGATTTTATAAAACGTCACTGCTTTAAAAAATCCGGTTATTCTTGTCCATTCGCACAGTAAGCAATTTTTATCTTTTTATTTGTTTTGAAGTCTTCCTATATTAAAAATGAGAGAGAAGATGATGATGATGATGATGATGATGATGAAAACAAAGAACAAAGAAAGAAATTCCATGACTCAGTAAGAAAACTGAAGTTGTATGAATGGAATACTGTGGCTTTATTTTCTGACACTTCTCCTTGTAGATAGATTGGAAAAATCAGTGTTCCTCTTGTTTGTTTTAAAATCCAGTTAGGTTGAGGCACTTGACATTTTAACTACAGTTTTATTTTTAACTTCATAAGGGGCTGGTGATGTAAAATGAGCCGTGCTGTACTGGAATGAATATGTGACAGTTATTCTCATTAAGGACCTTTGGCTGTAGTAGGTACTGGATTATTCATAATAGTTTATTGAAGGGACTCCACTACTATCTGACTTGCTAAGATTATAAGTGTATGTAAAAGGAATAATCAAATGTACAGAAATGCGCAATCTTTTATTGAATAAGAAGGGAAATAAAAAAACACTGTGTCTCACAAAAAGTGCTTTAGTATTAAAGTTTTGAAAAATATCTCTAAAATTCATGCACCGGCATGAATTTTTATTTAAAGAGACTCAACTACATAAACATATAAGGAGAGGAATTTTTAAGATTGGCATTTAAATGTACAGCTGGTGTACTTCTGTCAAAAATTTTACGTGTCCATACGATATGAAATTGAAACTTGTTGAAAATAATCTAAACTTCAATGATCTATATAGCTCTTCTTCCACAGCTGTACATAAAGACAAGCATTTGCCTTACTAGAAGACCAGTGGAAGATAAGATGAAAACGTTGTTTTCCTTCTGTTCTGTGTGGGTGGTTATTAAAAATATAGCCCAGCCTCAGAGGAAGGAGCCCGTTCCTCCTCACAGCCTCCGGC